ATATAAACTGTTCCAAGTAAAGCTGCCTTTTGCAATTGACTGACAGTGATTTTGTCAATGCTGATGGTGTTCAAGTGTTGCTCCAGAAGATTTGGGATTGTACCTAAGGCGCCTATAACCATTGGTACTACCTTTCCTTTCTTTTGCCATAGCCATTCTACTTCTATTTGCAGGTCTTTATATTGTATTATTATTATTATTATTATTATTATTATTATATTATCATCATTATTTTATCCTACCTTTTTATATATAGACATATAACTCAAGGCAGCAAACATACCTAATATTCCTTATTCCTGCCTCTTATTTTCCCCACAACAGCAACCCTGTGAGGTGGGTTGGCCTGATAAAGGCTGCAAATTGGACCTAAGATAAACCATCTGCTGAATCTGAAAACTTAGTAAATGAGAGACCATCCTAATTTGAATTATTTTTACCACAGATATGAGCAAGCCTTCCTGACTAGCCAAATTGGACACCGTTCCGAAACGTATTTCTGGATCGGCCTCTCAGATGTAGCAAATCCAGGGACTTTCAACTGGACCAATGGAGACCCCGTTCAGTTCACTCACTGGAACGTAGAAATGCCTGGTATGGAGTCTGTTGGAGCGTGAAAGCTTTTACCCTGTTAGCCTATATATGGAGACGTGTTAAATTCTTGTTTTCCATCCTGCCAGGCCCAAATCCCGGCTGCGTTGCCATGAGAACGGGAAATGCAGCTGGACTGTGGGATGTCGTGAACTGCGAGGAGAGGGCCGCCTTCCTCTGCAAGCAATTGGCTGAAGGGATAACGCCTCCTCCAATCCCGAGAACAACGCCCCCACCCCCGTGTCCCAAAGGATGGGTTGCAAGTCCAGTGAGGGATGTCTGCTTCAAAGTGGGTCAGCCGGTTTCAGAGTCAAAGCGTTTGCTTGCTCAAACAGGGTCAGCCCTTTGAGATAGGCTAGGTCAAGAGGCAGGTCAAGGGAGAAGGGGCTCTTGGGGCATCACCGCCTCTTCTCCCTTCCCCTCCAGAGGGAGCTTGGTGCCCTTCAGCCATGATTAATCCTCTTCTGACAGAGAAATATAATGTTTGGAATAACGAAAAATGCTGAGGCATCATACAGAACTCTGAAAACCGGATCATGTTCCTTTACAGCCAGCTTATTTTTGGCCCTCTCTCTGAAATCCCCATTTATTGTCTTGAGACACTAAAGTCTCAAGTACCGTGCCCCAAGAAATCCTGGCCTAACCAATCCGAACCAGATGGCGACTATTATTATTGAATTAACCTAATACAGTTATGGCCCTAGTAGAATGGTTAGAAATTGGCATTTTTCTTGCAGTCAATGCAGTCATCTTTGCTTCATCCAAGAAGCACTTCTGCTTCATATTTTTTTTTTAACTTTTCACAACTATTTATCTGGATTTGTCACTCTTTTAGACTAGTTTAAAGGTGAGCTACAGGAATTGATGTGATTGCCTTGAATTTTAATTGAATTATAATAAAAGAAGAGATTAGATTCCTTTGACACAATACTCCTAAGGAGTAGTCATGAGGAAATTGTCTGATTCGGTAGCCAGTTGGCCACTGGGGGGAAGAATATTTATTCAGACATATGACTTTTATAAGTTACAAATTGATTAAGGGCAGGGTTCCCCAAACTGATCAGTATTGACTCCCAAGGGTCGATGGGACTATCCAAGGGGTCGATAAATGCCTGGTTGTCCAAAGGAGGTCAGTAAATATCTTGGGGTCAATAGGTGGTTGATAAATGATGGAAAGTCAATTGGGGTCAATTAATTTTTTTGGGTCTCTGTAGAACTCCACACCATTCTCTAGTCCTGAAGGTGAGGTGGCTAGTGGCCAGACAGGATTACCCAGGGTTGGATGGTCAGCTGCCAGTGACGGTGGCCTTGAGTTGTCATTATTATTATTATTATTATTGTTGTTGTTTGTAGTATTATTAGTTAAAGTAGTATTTATTAAATTGTTTTCATGAAATAAATGTTTGTGGGTCAATGAGCTGAAGAGTTTGGGGACACCTGATTTAGGGGCTTGGCCTGAGCCTAAAACAGATAGGTATGCTATTGAAAATAATCAACTTTAAACAAATTAAATAATATCTGAGGAAAACTTAAGGGAAGTTTCAGATGCTGTGTGTAGGTGTTGCAGGGACAGAGAGGTGTGGGGTGTGTGTGTTGTTCTCTTGCTTCTTCAGTTATGGTAACTTTATTTAATCTTTATCCTGCCTTTATTTCTGGTCAGCTCAAGGTGGCATACAGACCTATTGCTCCTGCCTTCTGTTGTCTTCACAACAACCTGGTGAGGTACGTTGAGCTGACAGAGAGTAACTACCCCAAATCTCCCAGCTGGCCTAAGGGAGGCCTATAACTCACAGTCTCTCTATTTCTAGCCAAACACCTTAACTTAAACCACTACTTAAAGTCGCTCTATATTTGAATAGAGCCTATTACCAATTACCTCCTATCAACTTTTGTATCCAAAATGGAGAATTGTATAAATTACAGTTCTCACAGTGAGATTTATGACTGCCAGTTTTCATGTAACATCTAAAAGAAGAATCAGATTTTACTCAAAGATATGTTTGAAGTACATATGGACTAACTGGTGTAGTGGTTAAGGTGCTGGCCTAGAAACCAGGAGGCTGTGAGCTCTAGGCCTCCGTTAGGCATGAAAGTCGGCTGGGTGACTTTGGGCCAGTCACTCTCTCTCAGCTCAACCCACCTCACAGGGTGGTTGTTGTGGGGAAAATAGGAGTATTAGGTATGTTACTGCCTTGAGTTATATATATTAAAAAGGCAGGATAAAAATATCATCTTCTTCTTCTTCATCATCATCATCATCATCATCATCATCATCATCATCATCATCATCCTGTGGGGGAAAATATCTATAGACAGTCTCTTAGAAAAGCCAGCAAGTGTTCTTGTACTAGTTATGACAGCAGCAAAAAACCTTACCTTTTCTCCTATTTCTTGGTAACATCAAGAATTGTTGTATTGGTTAGAAAAATGTGAAAAGTGAAAGAATCAAATATGAAAGTTGGAGGCTTAATTGAAAAGATAATTAAATATGAGCCAAGAGGGAAAGCAGACAACTACGGAGTTAAAGCTAATTTGTAACGAGATACATTTATATACCTTTAGGTCTACAGAGAGAAGAAAGCTGAAAAGAAATCTTGGTATGATGCATATGACTTTTGTAAATTAATTGGAGGAGACCTGGCTTCTATTCATAGTAGAGCAGAGGAAGACGTAATACGCCAAGAGTGAGTTTAATAAACTGCTTATTTCTTAACATAATCTCAAAGCAGAAATACTTCTGACAAAGGTTTATCAGAGCACTGAATCTATCTTCAGGGAATATATAACAAGGGTAATTCTGTACATTCTGAAGTGCTTTGCATGTAGTTGAATTTTCTCCCAGGACACTCTACTTAGAATTATAGATCCGGTGCTTGATTTTACAGGTAGTCCTTGACTTACAATCACAGGTGGGACTGGAACTTCCATTACTAAGTGATGCAATCATTCCCAAGTTGCACCATTCTCTAAATCACGCATGCCATTCTCCAAATCGTATGCCCCATTCCCGTGCTGCTTTGGAAGACCTTTGGAAAGATTCTGAGGTCTTCCAAGGCATTGTGAGAACAGTGTGCATGATTTGGAGAATTTAGAGAATGACGCACATAATTTGGAGAATGGTGCAAGTGGCCTTGGGCAGAAGGGCTGGCACAGCCAGCAGCTGCCTTCCATAAGGCAGGCTGGATGCTCCTTGTCAGCAGCAGGAAGAAAATGGTGAAGGTCACATGGGTGCGGCAGGGCAGGGGGGTGGCTGGGGCTTTGCACTGTGGCGCTGGGGTGGCTGGCCCTGGCACAGGGCTTGAAGCGGCACTCCTCAACAGCAGTGCCAGCTGTGCTGGGACTGAAGTAGAGGCCTGTGGGTGGTAGCAGCCAGCTGAGACTGCTGAAGGCCTCGGGGCCTCTAATTCAGCCCCAGCACTGCTGCCACCACTGCCAAGGAATGCTGCTGTGCAGGGCACCCAAAAGGGCAGAGATGGGGGGGAAGATGGGGTGGGAGTTGAAGTGCCCCTGCATGTGGGCAGGCTGCCAAGCACCTGAATTTTGATTGCATGCCACGGGGGTGCTGCAGTGGCCATAACTTCAGATGCCAGTCGTAAGTCCCTTCGTTCAGTGCCATCCTAACTTTGAACAGTTGCTGAACGAATGGTCATAAGTCGAGGACTACCTATATGTCAATAACTGAGTGGGGAAGAAAAAGACCATGATGATGATGCTCATTTAAAAAACAAACAACAAAACAAAACTCCCTCAGTGGTTACAACAGAAATAATAAAGAATCATCAGAAATGCAGATTCAGTCATTATCATCATCATCATCATCATCATCTCAATAAAGGAACAAGGCTTTTAATATTATCTTATACATGACTACTTAAATAAATTCCATTGCAGTCATCAGAACTTATTCCCACTTGAGTAGCTATCATATTGCAGCCATAAGGGAGTATGCCATATTTAAGAGCCTGGATATTTCTGGGGGTTACTCGCTTGCTGACATGCTTATGTTTGTGTGTGAGAAAGAAAACAGGGAGAGAAAATTGCAGTGCTATATTTAAGCAAGACACATGCATAAAACATATTTAACATATTTGCTGATTATTACATTTTAGATCAGGAATAGGAGAAACCTGGATTGGTTTCAGGTCTTTGGATCCTAGCACAGGATTCACTTGGAGTGATGGGTCTCCTGTAAGTAAATGATTAACATGCATGCTTTATAACACAACTATTAACTGAAATTGCTGGTATTCTTAATATTTAATGGAGTATAGGTATTAGTAATATTTCTTGTAGTGAAGTTTCACAGGCATATAACAGTATTCTAAATGTTAAACCAAGTGTTAACCAAGTATTAAAAACCTTAATATAATATGATGTTGATATTTGATCTGATTCAGATTGTTTTGACAGTTTCTCTGGAGTTGCTGCTGTTGAAAACAGTTTGATTTCATTGATCTTACAGAAGCAGACAAACTGCTTGAAAACTTTCATTCCACACCCCGCTAATTTTTCCTTTATCCATTTTTCTGGAGTGAGAGAAATTAAGCTAATTATTACACCTAGCTAATTAAGAACAGTTGGGTGATCCTTTCCCTAAGCACCATGTTTGGGTAACTGCTAGCACCTGGAACCTTGAGTTGGATGGCCAATATGGCAAGTATACTAATGCTCATGAAGGTGCAAGGGGGGGATGATAAGGTGGGATACATTGGGCAGTTTATGTTTTATGTTTGTGTGTACTGCTGTTGACCCCCATTGGAGCCACTTGATACTGCTGATGCTCTTGTACATGAAGAAGATAGTATTCCAGAGCATCTGAAGTGGGGGGGGGGGAACCAGAGGGCATGGTTGCTGACAAAGTATCATCATGATATTTGAGCCCCTGGAGAAAAGGTTGAAAACCTCCAAAGCGATTGAAGAGCAAAAGAGACCCAGAGAGATCCAAGAGGTAGATGGAAGCTCATAATAGTAGTGGTGACCCAAAGAGAGGACTACTGCAGGGAAGATGGATCCAGTTTGGGGAGGAAGGAGTGAACTGAGCAAGTTAAAGAATAGCAGCAACATTTTCTAAGTATCCAATTTCCCTTAACTAGCTCTTTCTCCCTGCTATCAGAAGAAACTGAATCAGTTCGCAGGACAAAAAGGAGGTGACAGAGGTGACTAGAATGTGGGCTAGCGTAGTGATGAATGCAGTCTTGGGTGATGGACCAGTGCCACATGCCTTGAAGAAAGTGGTGGTATGTTCTACCCTGCAGAAATATAGTTTGACCCAGAAGTATTAGACAATTACTGATCTATCTCCAATTTTCCTTGTGTAGCTCTTTGCTACAGTGCAATGTGCTCTGGAAGAAATGAATTCTGGACCCTTTTCAATCTGGCTTTAGGTCTGGGGGTGGAACTGAGACCACATTAGTCATACTTATAGATGATTTTTGGCAAGATCACGATGGGGGATTACAACCTTGTTGGCATTACTTGACTTCTCAGTGGCTTTCAATTACCATCAACCATGCTATCCTTCTGCGCCATCTCTGAGTACTGGGAATGAGGAACACTCTGTTGTCATGATTCCTTTCTGAAGGAGTGGTTCTAGTTGGGGTAGAGAGAGGTCAAACTCTAGGCCCTAGATTATGAGCTTTCTCAGGGCCTGATGCCCTCCCCCACTTTTATTTAGCATCTACATGTGATCCATTGATACAGGGTTAAGTTTCATCAGTGAGCGATAAACAACTTTACATCTCAACCCCTGGTTGAACAGGTGATGCAACTGAGGCCCTAGTCCTGGTGCCTAGAAGCTGCTAGGCTCTGGATGGGGATGAACAATCTTAGGCTGAATCCCAGCAAGACAGAGCAGCTTTGGGTTAAGAAGCCAGCTGACTGCAGGGAGATTCCATCTCTAATTCTGAATGGGATCACACTCCCCTCTTCTGAACTAGTTTATCATCTAGGTATTCTTCTTGGCTCATGGCTGTTGCTTGAGGGACAAGTGGCAATTATGACAAAGAGGGACTTTTGTACAACTCCCCCTGGTGTGCCATCTACGCATACCCTAGAATGGGAGACACTATTCATAATCATATATATCTTGATCTCCTCTCATTTGGAGTACTGAAATGTGTTGTACATGGGAGTGCCCTTAAAGACTACACAGAAGCTAAAGTTGGTCCAGAATGCAGCGGCTTGGGTAGTAATGGGTGTGTCATGATTCACCCATATAACATCTCTACTCTGAGAACAATCCAAGGTGCTGGTTATTCACATTTAAAGGCCTGCATGGTTGAAACCCGGGGTATCTTCAGGACTCCTTTCTTCTGGTTCTTTATGCCTGTCTGATAAGATCAGGTAGAACAAGCTCCCTTTGGGTCTCTTCATCCAGGGAATGCTGCCTTCAGTAACCTCAGAGACAAGCCTTTTCCATTGCTTCTCCCCTTCTTTGGAATAGTATTCCTCCTGAGATCCATATGGCTTGAACCTTACTGGTTTTAGAAAGGTGATTACAACCTGGCCTTTCTGCAGGTCTTGGGGGCAGAAGTGTTATGAAGTATTCCCCCTTGGAAAGTAGTGTTCTGTTCAATTGAATTTGTTTATTGTCCCTGGCATAGAATTGTGAATTGTCTGTTACTTTGATTTTTATCTACATTTTTAACCTTATTTTATGGAATCGGGTATGGAAGCCACTGAGTTGGTTTTTTTTTTTTTTTATTATTAAACTTGTATGCCACCCATCTCCCCCAATGGGTGACTCTGGGCAGCTCACAATAACAAAAAAGAACAAACACCCCAATACCTCCAACAGTGGCTAAAATCCGTAAATAATTAAAATACAAACATACATTAAAAATGTTCTAAAAACCCCTTGTATATTTTGTATGTTATGACTAGAATGACATGTAAGTGTAGACAGACAGACAGACAGACAGAGAAGAAAAAGAGTGGAGAAGTTAGAAAGGGGTTGAAAAAGCCAGGCCTCAGGTTAAACTCTGTCACTGTTTTGCATGCTGTAGCATTTTAAGAGAACATGAAATAAACAAAGCTTTTTATTTCAGAATAAGATAGAGGGAAAAGACAAGGCAAGGCCAGCACTGTAACAAAGCATGCTTAATTTAAACCTTTAGTTAACCATTTAAACCCCTAGAAATTATGTTAAGAAGTTTGCATATGTTACTACACTTAGGTACATATATTAAAAAATACAGTATATAATAATTCACAACTAAGTTTAGTAATCACATTTAAACTGAAAATATTTTTTATTATAAAAATAGTTTCTTGGTCAAAAGTTTTGTATCCAGTACCTGGAAATATAACACCATTCATTTTGCCCCTCAATCCTGACAGATCCTATCCTATCCTATCCTATCCTATCCTATCCTATCCTATCCTATCCTATCCTATCCTATCCTATCCTATCCTATCCTATCCATCATCTTTTTATTAGATTTAAAGGCTGCCTGACTCCAGAATGAGCCTGGCAGCTTATACTAAAATTAGAAAACAATTTTTAAAAATCCCATGTATCCAGACAAACATACTTCCTATAATTCAAAACATAACCAACAATTCTTCACAAGCATCCTATCCCAGGGCTTCTGGAACAACATCAGAGTAAAGCCATATAGATCTCTTGTAAAAGTTACAACCATTGCTAGCTCCTCTTTTGGAGTTATACCATCTTTTGTATTAAAATATGTGAAGCTGTAAATGTTGGATCAGTGGATCAGGCTAATATGAAATGTGCATGCCAGCTCTCACTCCCTCAAATTTCAGTACTCAGAACCACATTGGTAAAATTTTGCTAACAGCCCATCAAACATGTAGACCCAAATCATTAGAAGGTAATTATGGTACATTTGTTTCTTTTTCCAAATGTTAAAACTCGTGGTTTTGGAAAGTAAATATGTAAGTACATTTTATTTTTACTGTAGGTAGTCTATGAACCAGCGTTTGGTTGGTCTTCAGTTTATGGATCTAATGAACAATGCAAAATATTATGGAGACATCCTGGATTCTGGAATGCAGTGTTTTGTCATAAGTTATTTAATTGGATTTGTCAAATTACAAGAGGTAATATGCTTTTCATTCTCAACTAGTTTATTAGTACAGATGACAGAGATTTTATTTATTGCACAACTTGTAAATCTAGGTTTTAGCATTCACATGATGGTCTCCCTTTCTTTTGGGACAGGAATTTGGAAGTCTTAAATACAATTCACTTTTATTTTTAACATTGCAGATTTTAAATTCCTAAATATAACTACTTAAGTAACACAGTACAATGTCTAATATAAATATCTTCATGACACTCAAGAATTTAGTATACTGAAGGTATTACGGATGCCAACAGTTTTTCTTTTGAAATAATAATAATAGTAATAATAATAATAAATATTATTTATTATATATAAATAATATAAATATAAATAAATATTATTTATTAAACTTGTATGCTGCCTGACTCTCAATGACTCTGGGCAGCTCACAACAATCAAAGAAATTGGAATAAAACCAATAAAAGATAAAGATAAAAGATGGCAAGTACAATGAAGTGAGGGGTCTTGCTCTCCCTTCCCAAAAGCCTGGGTGAAGAGCCAGGTCTTCATGGCTCTTCTAAACAACACTAAAGTGGGGGCCATCTGGATCTTGGGGAAAACTGGTATACGGTTTTCCATAGTTTTATTTGCTTGTGAATGGAAATACATTAAGCTAGTATAACACTTCTCTTTTTGTGGATTGCCTTTTGTAATATGGAGTAATGTAATGTGATAAGGTTATACTTGAATTCCTTGTAATTAAAATATTTGGTTTTGCAGGTTCACACTTAAATCCAGAACCAAGCAACAAGTTTGGTATGTTGGGCAATTTAATGTCAAAAATATTATAATATATGTAATCTTTACTAGAAACTATGGCTGTGCATTGCATTTAGTCTGATTTGAATAAGGCTGTTTTGAGCCAAATCTGGCTGTATGATGTAAAGAAGCATTCTTAAAATGTGATGGGTGCTTAATTCTTAAAATCAGTTGGGTTTGTAAGCAAACCAATTCCTCAGAGCACTGTAGAAAGCCAGACACTCGTTTTGGACACTGTAGAAGAACAGACATTGTGTTTTCCCTTAAATGAAAGAAAGGTGCCATAATGTGATTGACCTTCTCTTCATAGGCAATCATTCAGTAGGGGCTTCCCAAGCATACACAGAACTGTGGCTATAACTAAAGAGCAATTATTAATAAGTAGGGCACTGAATTATTTTGAATATCTATAAGAAATCATTGGAAAAGTTTAGAAAACATTCCCAAATACACAAAGCTTTGATGAAGTGGTTGCATTTGATAGTGATTTGATTGAATCAAGTGATCTAAGCAGTTCTATGAGGAACAACCCATTTCTCTCTCTCCCCATTTCTGACAGCAAATTAAAGTGGCCTCCACTTTTAAAGTAAATGCTTTGCTTTACATTACTTTGACTTGCAGACTCAAGCTAGCATTTATAATACCCAGAAGAGACTTCTGGGCATTCTGGAACATTTGCATAGAAGCCTCTTTTAGCACTCAGTTGAGGTCAGTTTGCCAACTATTACAATGGATGTGTATTTTGGGTATGCACATTCTTGTTCAGAAGACTTTGGAAGGAAGAGATTTGCCCCAAAGTATAGCACAGAATCTTCAAGTGGTTCTGTTTGCTTCATGGTTTTGCGGAATGGATCTAGAGGGACTGCATAGACCTATAAGTTGTTTCTTCTACTTCTTTTGCAGACTATAGTTACAAAACAATTGAAGATGGCTGGATTGGATTTGAAAGCAATGAATACTATTTCAGTAATACAACACTGCCTGCAGAAAAAGCCCGGAAGTTCTGCAAACAACATGGTGGTGATCTTACCACCATTGACAGTAAACATGAAAAAGTGTTTTTGTGGAAATATGTAAGAAATATATGCAATAATTATGTATTCAAAATAACTGGCTTCAGAAAGCATATATGTATGTGGGTGTATATATGTGTTTATGTACAGTATATACATATGTATATCTATATATGTGTGTGCATGTATGTGTGTGTACATATATGTATGTGTGTATGTGTGAGTGCGTGCGTGTGTATAAATTATATGACAGCAAGAAGTTTTCAGAGACTGAAGAATTTTTTTTTAAATTTTTTATTCTTTACAACAAACACAAAACATACATAAACAAACAAGAACATACAAAGG